CTAATGTCTCAAATAGGTCCAAGTAAATGAGTCATACCAAATACTCAGGCTATTGGAGCCATCAAAGTGAATTTAGAACACTTTGAAAATATTGGAAAAAGAACTTATATTAAGTTATTTTCAATACAAATAAAACCCAATGTGTTATCTCATTTGATTTTGATATTTTAGACTGACCGGAGGCCGTATTTCTACAGTGACATAGTCGCCCTCCAAGATAGTGGCTTTCTGAGCAGGTGTCCAAGTGGTACGTAGAGTCGTCATAACGTCAGATTAGGAATCATTCAGACTTGCTGAGAAATTGGCAGATTCGGTGTGGTAGAAGTAAGGTCCTTAGTAAAAATAGATGTAGCTGTCATATTGAGAATGGAGAGTTAGTTGTAGATCAAGATTGAAATCATCTTCGGCTAGGATCGACCAGGCAATCGAGGAAGGTTTAGATGGTGAGCTAGAAAGCATGGTAAAAGTATAGAATGACAAAGGTCACACTTACTATTTTACCATATCCTATATGGACCGATTCTAAAGACTTTCTTAGTGACTGAACGGTTTATTATTTTGGGCAGAATCTTCTAATATAATAAAGTTGATTTGAGTCCCTGTTTATGTGGCCACATGGTCAGATATAAAACCCTAGGGCAGGGTTCTTACGGAACAGGAACTAAGTTTATCCTGAAAGGTATATAAATAGTATGTACTAAAATTTGAAATTTGAAATATATACACATATAGGCATAGCTTTCGTCTTTCTGAAAAAAGAACAGTATATTTACATATTACATATTTATGTTGTATAATTTAGAAGGCTATGTTTATTTATGTACACAATTGTTTTAAGACCCCCCACACACACACAAGATTTCTCCACTTTCTTTAGGGTTTTATGTTTAGGGTTTAGGAAAATCACCTAAATTCAGAACTGACTTGTCTTTCTCGCGCGCAAATTCAAGTTGATATTAAGAGCGAATAGAAATTCAGAATGCTCTGAGGATGAATAGCTTTCGGAATATGTAAATATTTATTTACCATAACTTTTTTGTTGGCCAGCATCCAAGGTACATATGCTACTATCGCTAACTATTTAGAGAGAGAGGCATGTACTGACAAGTATATAGGTTATATATACTTAGTACTATATGTACGTAGCCCTCCGTAACCCTCACAAGGTTACTGGGCTTATCGGTATACACTCCGTGCTATAGCTGATAGTATCTATCCATAGTGCGACGTATGGCCCTCTCAGAGTCGAAGATGCACAAGGGAGAGTGAGCTCGTCTCTTGACCTCATTTAAAACTCTATCGTACTTCTCTAGTAGAGTTTAATCGCACTTCTATCACATAAAAAAAATCGCATCGGTGTGGAAATAATATTCACGATGGCTCCAGGTCGACGCGCGCCCGATGTGAAGGACCAAATATCCAAACGACGAAGAAAGTATGTTGGGGTATAGTGATCCTTGTGCTGTAACTGTTGTTCTGATTTGCGAAGGTTGTACGTACAACACTTACCCAAGTCTATTACTACAAGCGGTACGTTCTACAACGGATTGCATATGCCTGATAATTATTTCTAATTTTTCTAGCTAGATCGCTAATGTATACCTTGTACCAATCGATCTTGGGTTTCTAGTTGTCTTTCTTACTCGCGTGCCTGCAATTTGGTAGTCTGGTAGTCCAAGACATATCCCATCCTTGTATGTCGCCTGGATGCGTGTGTCATTTTTTCTAGGGTCTACATACGGATTTTTGTATATCATGCTTGCATGTCGCTTGTCTATCTACGGCACTAGAGTTTTAATACCGATCGTACCTCTGCATCGTGCTTGATTGCTATCGTAATACCATCACTGGCTTTTAGTAGTATCTACCGACCAAGATTCATGGCACGTTTCTATGGCATGTCGGGCTGTAAAGTGTTAGTAAAAAAATACTTTGAATTCCGAAATAGTACACGTACATGTGTGTTGCAATGTGATCACACAAGTTAGTGATTCCGAGTTCATGCTAGACTTTCTGCGTTTCTTGTATGGTGCGTTCTGCGAAAGCTCTATACACGGCCAATCAATATATTCTAGCTTGCTAAGTGCAATATAGAACGTACTTATAGCTCGCTGTGCGAGTCCATCGACATCTGCAAGCACCGAATGCAAGATGCAGCGTATACCAGGTAGAATGCTAGGGTGACCAAGAAGGTCTACAAGAACCTACTTTTGAGATGACGATTTCCCTTTAAATGTATCTGACTTTAGTGCATACCAATACAACCCTATCACTTCGTTCTGGTTCTTGATTTGGCAGTTCAGTTCTCGTTCAAGATGTCGTTTGCGTGAGGATTGTTGCATATAATGTCTGAAAGGGCCAAAATATAGAGTTATCTTTTGTTTCGTATCTACAAATTGCAAGAGCACTTCATGTGGTGATACAGCCGTATTGCTTCTCTCTTCTTGATGTACAAAGGTAACAGCTCGTAATATGATTTTAAACTCTATGGCCTCATACGTTTATGGCCAGAACGACATATACTCCATCGAGGTAGTCTGCGGAAAGGAGATTCAATTTTGAATTATACTTTTATCAGATTTTATGTGTGTGCGTGGCTTCCATGTGTTCATCAGAGAT